ATCCACTTGGCACGGCAGACCTCCCCTGAGCTGCTCCCCTCAGCAGTGCACTTCCTCAGTCTGCCTGTTCTGCTCACCACTCTGTCTCACTGCCCCTGCACTTCTGGCCTGTACCCTAGTTCTGTATGCATAAATAAATGTCTTTAAAAAAATAAAAAGCCAGAAACAACCCGTAAAAATAGAAAATACATCTGGATATCCTCCTCTCACAATTACTAACATTGATATATAATTTCCCAGACTTTGTTGGGTAGGATACAGATTGCCAACAACAGAAGCATAGTCTATATAATATTTTGTTGTTCTGTTTAGCAAAATGTAACCTCTATTTTCTCACATTGTTAAATGGATATTACAGCATAAGTTTTGAACTTTATGTTTTGGAGGGTGGGGAAGATTTCATATATAAGCAAAATAATCTGAATAGCATAATGACCCTCCTTGTATCCATCACTCAGATTCAAAGCTATTAACAATTTGCTATTTGTTCTCTTTCCTTTCATTCTGCTTGTTTTATCTCCCTTGAGGTAAGAGAAGAGTATGTATATATTACCCATAAGCGTTTGAGGTTTGACAGGCTGGAATAACCCACATACCAATCTAGATAAAGAACATTTCTGTCTTGTCAGACATTCCTTGTATCTTCCTAGTCACTCCTAACACCCTCCAAAGGTAACCACTCTTTTGTTCTGTTTTCACTGTAGAATAAATAATGTTACCAGGTCCAAATTTCTATATACGTGAAAGCATATGCGTGCTCTTCTGTGACTGACTTTTTTTATTCAGGATGATGTCATTGAGATTGGTTCTTTATTTAGCGTTGCATGGGTCAGTTAGTTTGTTTTTTCTTGTTTTTGCTATTGTATTCTGTTTTGTCAATATACCACAACTTTTTTGTTCACTTATTTTAAATAAACATCTGGATTATTTCAGTCTTTGTCAGTTATGCAGTAAAATTGCTATGACTACTTTTGTACAAGTCTTCATTTCTCTTAGGTAAATACCTTGACATGCAATCCTGGTTCAAGATGTATGTTTTAACTTTAAAACTATATAGATGGAGTATTCCCTCATGGTGCAATTGTTAAGGGGAAGGATGTCCTAAAGGAACTCTGCAGAGTCTTATAGACTCCATCCTCTACTCCAGCTTTCTGGACCTTACCCCCTACTCCAGTGATTGGAAACTAAAACTCCCAGCAGTACCAGGGAGAGAACTGAGAGGACCCGAGGGTGGAGCTAGCAGGAATTCTGGGACATTTGGGGGATAAATAGGGCACAATTGCATCTCTTGATCTCTTGCTTGGGAAGCAGCTCTCCTGACTCGGTGTGTTCAGTCAGCCTAGCCCTAAGGTATTCCAGTTACTTTGTATCCCACTCTCTTTCCCTGGGTTGTTTCCTATTCCTTTCCCCTTTTGTAAATAAACCTTTTATTGACCCTTTTGTGTGTATCTGCAATATAACTGAATTGTGAGTGTGCGGGTGAGGCCCCACAGATAAGCGGCTCAGTCCACTCTGGGCTACCTGTAACAGGGCAACAGGTTAAAGTGCAGCACTATGAAGCTCTCTGCAGAGTCTATAGCATGAGTTCAATCCCTGGCCAGGGAGCTGACCCACATGACACAGCAGATCTCCTCTGTCTTGCCTGCTGCTCCTCCCAGCAGTGTATTTCAGTAGATCCTCCTGTTCTGCTCCTCTCTGGTGAATTCTCTCCCCCACCCCACACACCTCTGGTCTGTACCCCACTTCTTATATGCATAAATAAGTAAATCGTAATAAAACAATACAATTATATAGACTTTGTCCATTTGTACCAGGAACAATATTCTTTTTTTTTTTTTTTTTAAGATTTATTTATTTGTGCGTACAGAACTTGGGTATAGGCCAGAGGTGCAGGGGCGGTGAATTCACCAGAGACAGAGTGGGGAGCAGAAACAGGTCGACCATCGATGTACACTGCTGAGGGGAACAGTGGGCGGGTCAGGAGAAGTCTGCCACACCATATGGATCACCTCTGGGGCAGGCAGGGATAGAACTCATGCGGAAGTGGCTTTAATTTCTTAGCGCTGTGCTTTAACCTGCCGCGCCACCAGGGAGGGCCCACAGGAACAATATTCTTTAAGGCATGGTAATTTTTGTGTCATGTTGCTAGATAAATCAAAATGAGATTAGGAACTGATGTCATCTCACATGGCAGGTTTATGAATAAAAAGTAGTGATACTCAGCATATTAGTATCAAAAGACTGAGGTTGTCAGACATTACAACTTTACCCTACAAAATCTGAGTCACATGTGTCTTAGTTTAATTGATACTAACCCAGTGTTAGAATTGTCTGGAATATCCTCATTATTTTATCGGTGGTCAGATGTGGCACCCAATATATTACAGATGTTTTTGTAATGTCTGTAATGAACATTATTCAAAACAACCAAAATAAGCAAGCAAAATGAATTGCTTTATACATAATGAGTGGCAAGTTAGAAATTTAATGCAGTTGGTTGAAAGAACAAGTCAAAGTGACATCATGAGGGTCACATAAGGTTAGTGTGTGTGTCTATTAGATAGAGCTTTCTCCTTTGCATAGAGTTGATACTTTTAAATAGCAAATCACATGGCTGTTTCCTATTAACCCTGTAGGTGTAACTAATTTTCTTTCTGCATGAACCTTACATTGTATGCCAGAGCTCATGTAAAAATATATTTATTCATTCATTAATTTATGCATAGAAGGACTAGGGCAGAGGCTAGAAGTGCAGAGGGTGAGAGGATTCACCAGAGACAGAGTGGGGAGCAGAACAGGTGGAGTCACTGAAATATGCTGCTGAGGGGAGCAGCACATGATACAGGAGAGATTGGCTGAACCATATGTAGGTCAGCTCATGACTGGGGTCAAACCCAGGCCACAGCTGCACTAGAATGATAGCACTGAGACGTATGCCCTATATCACCAGTGAGGCTCCCAGGATGAATTTTAAAGCTAATTTCCACTTTTCTAACAACAAGTTGAATGTGCTTATGGCTCTTTATACCCGATATGCATCTTCAATCTTTTGGATACATTAATCACTTTGAAGAGTTGACTCCATTCAGGAACTGGCTGTGGGTCCTATAAGCATTAGATACAATACTTCCAATTGTGCATTATGGCCAGTAGAGAGATAATAAGTAGATAAACATATATTTGTTAAATATTTGACTTAATCTACATTAGCGAGTGTTTCACTGTATAAGCAATGATGCCTCTTAAAAGTCAAGTTTTAGAATGCAGATTGAAGTTATTTTGGCTGATGCAAATCTAGGAACAAACTGCTGGGGTGTCACTTCTGGCTGTAGAAAGTTGAGATCACATATTGCCATAAAGAAGGCATTTAACCAGGCAGGGGTTACAGCAGTCAGGGTAGACTTCCTGGTAGCAATGACTGAACTGAGTTGTAATGTAATGCACAAATCACAGGTGTGTTGTAGAAAATGCTGGATGAAAGTTAAGGAATGTTTGACAGAATAGCATGTATCTGGTATAGGTTGAAAAGTAAAAAGAGTCTGGGGAAATGAGATTTTAAGAACAGGTGAAGATTAGATTTACTCAGGGGAGGCAAAAATAATCAAAGAAAAGGATTCATTTGTAAATGGGTGCAAAAGAATGAAGTTCAAACTTTTGACTATTTTCTGTTTTATTCCCCTTTCTTACACAAAGAGTTTAGAGAACAGCTAGATATGTAAAGAATTGAGTGTGCTATGTTTGTGTGTGTGTGTGTGTATTAACATGTTTAATTAAGAAGGATAGGAATAATATATTTACCTTGCACACAGAGTTTCATCAATAGCAAGATGAAGTAAGTGACACTGTTGTAGATCTTTGGGTTTGAATTAAATAAGACAAAAAGAGGCTTTCTCTTCCATATTCATCTTATTTAAATTTCTACTTTCTTGATGAAAAATTAACTCATCATTCTGAAAATTCATAACAGTACAGAACTAAAACAGATTTTATTGATCTATAACCAATTATAATTACATAATATCAATTGAAACTTCTTAATTAAGCATGTTAATCTGAAAATGCATATTAAAAACATCAAACAGTTTTGACTCTCCCATGTTCCAAGCTCTGTACATAGGCCAATTTCATACACCAAAAAGTCTTTTAATTCATTTGGAGAGGGTAACAAAAACAATATTTGTGATTAGTGCTAAGCTTAGTAATATCATCAAGATGCCATGGAAACAGAGAGAGGGAATACAATCATAGATAGGGATAAACATAGTTGAGTTATGTATCTTCTTCAATTACTTCTATATCATATGCCAGAGGACCTTCAATGGAAAACCCTAAGTAGAAAGACACTCTTTGTATGTTTCTGCCACTTCTGAGTGGACCAGAATAAACAGATATCACTGGTATTTTAATTTTTTCCCTTGTTCCATATTCTATAGAGATCAGCTTGCCTTCAGCCTGACCAATCAGACGGTGTAGGAGGTCTTTGACATTTTTTTCTTTCCATACCTTTCCACTCTGCCAGAAGGAATTGGTATTCGATACTTCACTGAAGTACTGCTCAATTTTAGCCTTGTGAACAAGACTGTTGAGACCCCTCTTATTCCCCAGGTAGAAAAGTGTGCTGGCTTGCTTGGACCTGCACATGTTCTTGTACTGTCTCTTGAAGGATCTCTTTAAGGAGGAAACATACTTTTCCATCAGCTTGGAATCTTGATCTAGCTCTTGATTCGCTGGCCAGAACAGAAGGCAAGCTAAGAAATAAGGGTCTGGATGAAGACTATTTATTTCTGTAGATTGTAACACTTCTCGGAGCTGTTTCTTTAATGTGCTTAGTGGTTGAATGGCCTTGGAGGTAGGTTTTAGACAATTGAGAATAATATTGGCCAAAATGAAATTCTGCTTCTCTCTTGTAAGCTGTTTGTTTGGGTTTTGTTGCAAAAGGAAGTTGTATTTATTCACTATACTTTCCATAGCGGTTGCAGCATCTTTCTGATTTGGGTTAAGATATTCAAGGAGTCCAGAAAATCTATCCGCTCTCAAAGCTTCTAGAGTTTTTCTACAGTTCTCCTCTTGGAGTAAATGACGCTCTTTGCTTTGTAATGGATCCACATCTGAATGACAGAAAAGTTCTCTGTATTTCTGGAAACAACGACTGATTTTCTTGCTTAATAATATTTCTGCTGTCTCCTTTTGGGCATTCCTCGTTTTCAAAAAAACCATATAATCAGCAAAAAAATCAAAGCACCTTTTCAAATCTGATTGTAAATTTTGTAAGTAGCTTGTAAACTTGCTAAGAGTCAAGTAATATTCACATTTTCCACTTGAAGAAATATTTCCCTTTCCTGATAAAAATTCTGACATCAGTTTCTTAGATAATTCACTCTCTTCATTGAAATAAGGAGTAAGTTGAAGAATCTGAATAGTGTAAAGACCAACTTCTATTTCACCCAAGAACCCAGCTGTATTATAGGTGTCATATTTTCTCTGAGACTTCTGTGATGACCAGGTGTCTGTTTCAGAGACTTTCTTATCAGTTTGCTCTTGTGATGTTTTGAAAGCTCTTGAGGCCTTTTCAGCAGCTTCTAGGAGGTGTGTTAAATCACTAATGGTAATATCTGTACAGTTTTTGTTTTTATCCAACCACCACTTGATTTCACTTTTGTAGACTTGACCAAGTGTATCTGTGATGTAGGAATTTTTAGGTGCTCTCTGTCTGGCTTCTTTTGCCCAATCCAGAGCAATGTTAAAGTTCTTTTCTTTAATGTAGAAATGTCTTGCTAAGGCTTGACAGATAAATGCATTTTGTGGGAATCGTTTACTTCCCGCAGTCAAGACTTTTTCAACATCTTCATTCTCTAAAGCTTCAATTAAAGGGGAAAACAAAGTGTCTATCTCATTTCCAAGCTCCCTGCGTTGTCTGGTAAGCAGGAGAGTTTGCACATCATGTTGAAATTTGTCTTTTCCTATTCCACAATCATAGAATAAGTTCTCGTGTAACATATTCAGTGCAATTGTACTCTTATTCAAGTGGTAGCTTTTCCCCAGTTCTTCTAGGCAGCAATTAGCAATGAGAGGATGGATGATGCGCACAGCTGTGTATCTCCCATATTCTGCAGCTTCTGTGTTTATTAGTAGAGTAGAATAAGTCCCCATCTTGTCTTCCAGGCTTTCAGGTTTCCAGTGTGTCTTAATTTGGGAGATTCCCAAAAATTTTTCACACTGTGAAACTGAAATTGTAGAATCAGTAACATAAGAGTTGAGTAGAACCAGGAAAGAAATGAGTTGTGCTTCCTTGCTGTCAAAATCCTGTCCTTTCAGGATATTCCCCACTACATTTTCTATATATGTTTCATCAAAATTGCTTTTCATGATCATAAAAGAATAAAAGTTCTCAAAGTTCTGGTGTTGCTTTTCAATTTCCTCTAGTTTGGCTCCAAAAGCTCTTTGTTCCTTGGGAGAAAGTTGGTATTTCAATGCTATACTGTCTGCTAATTTTGCACTTTCATCAGGATTCTGGGATCTCATGCAGTTTAAGATAATTACCAGTGTTTTTTCATATCGCATTTCCTTCTCTGCTATAGCAGAATGGATGGTATTTTGTAGAATGTAAACATTTTCCTGCTCTTCTAAATCATCCACAAGGAGAAGTACAGGCTTGTAGTCCTGATGGCTGCTTGCCTTATAGGTAATCAACTTGATCACTTGTTCTCCAATTTCCTTAAAGTCAATTTCTTTGTTTTTTAACACAGCACATCTGAATTTTTTCTTAAGATCCCAAAGAACATTCATAGCCAGTGTGGTACCTCCACAGCCCGGATGATGATAAAGATTGATAATTTTTGCAAATACTGGTTGAGGAGACTTTGCCCTCTCCTGTATAAGACATTTAAGGTTGTCATACCTGTCCCTTTTCACAAAAGGTGAAGAATAGTTTTCAGAAGAAAAATAGAAGTTCCACCAGGATACTCTACCACCTCGGTAAAAGTGTTCTTCTTTTGATTTCCTAAATTCTTGGAATTTAGATTCATCTTTCTCTATGTCTGTGTCCCTACATTCATTTTCACAGAGGATTTCCAATGCAGTCAAAATATCCTCTTCCTTTTTCTCTAGGATAACTGAAGAAGATCCACGGGAGGGCAAAAATCTTCTTGATGACCGAGTCACTGATTTCAGTTTAAGGATTGTACTATTTATTAATTCTAAATTTAAAGTGGAAATACTGTGGTTTGTTAATTCATCTGACCTTGTTAGTCTTGTCTGTAGTAGATCTTTCCATCGTTGATAAGTCTGCGGGTTTTCACAGATACACAATATATTTTCCATTCCTTTGAGGTTTTGGTAGAAAGCACAGAAAGTTTCAATGAGTGGATCTCCTGGGCTTTCCACTGAAGAGAGTAATAGAAACACTACCAACAGTTTCCCTCTGGTGATTATATTTTCATTGGTGAGAAATAAAATCAGATTCCTGACTTCAGAAGCTCTTTCTCTCTGCCATAAATGTGGTTCTAGGGGCTTATATGTTTCATCTTTCAAGTCTGATCTGCCATTGCAGAAGATCCAACTGGGCTGGTAGTAAAGATTCAGACTAGAAATTTTCTCCATCATGGTAGTTTTTTCTTCATACTGGTTTGGAAAGTGAAGGTTTGCTACTCTGCTTTTTTTATAAGCTTTGACTACGCCCCTACTCACAGATTCAGGATCAAAGTCCAAAACAGCAAGCCATTCAATTTCCTTTAGAAAATCTAAGTTCTTTGTCTGGTTTGGATGGCATTTATTTGTTACAAGAATGTACCAGTTGTAGTAGGAGTTATCCAATGAATCTCGGTTTCCTATGAGAAGTTTAATCAGCTTTTGTCCTTCATATTCACTCTTCTTTTCTTTCATCTTATATTCTTCTTCAGCTTCTTTTCTCAATGCTATGACTGACTTTAAATTTTGATGAAATGCTTTGAAACTGATATCTTGTTGCTTAACATTGGCCAGGATGTCCTTAGAACTAGCCCCCTCTCTCACAAACAGTGAAGTATCCTGGCTTTGTTTCCATGTTTCATTTTTTAAAATTTGCATCTTAATGTAGAAATACTTATCTTTACATACAGAATCTTTTGGAATAATATCGACTTCAATGACAAATCTGTCAGATGATGTATTGTTCTGTAGTAGAACTTCCACAAACCTTGGCTCACGAATGCACTTTTTGGCTTCTTTGATTTCACTTTCTTCAAAATAATGTTTGATCATTAAATTGAAGTGGTCAATGAAAGCATCCTTACGGGTGACTTTCACACCAACAATTTCTCCATGAGGTTTGTCCTTGACTCCAAAATGAATGGTGCCATTGGTGCGTGAATTCATGCAAGCTGACGCAAATCGGAAGACTTCATTGCTAAATTTCATCTTAATATCCTCATCTGAGGCTGTTTCTGTATTTGTGAGGGCTTTGAACTCATGTATGGGGTCTATGAGATTGAGCGGTCCTGTTTCAGGTTGTAGAATATAATGTTCTATGTAACGTATGCTGTCATGGAACTGATCAAAAGGATATGGCATACAAGTACACTGCTCAGTTTTTAACTTTATATTCTTTTTGTCTTCAGCAGACATTACTTCACTTAAGGTACTTTTCCCCATGGGAGTCAATTCTTCTTCTGTACTTATCATTCTGGGATCATAAACACTATTGGATTTTTCTTTTTCCTTTGTTACCTGTTGTGGCTTTTTGTTGTGTTCTTTTTTGGAGGATTTGGTCTGATCTAATCTTCCTGAATCCTGATTACTACCTTCAGGGGGAGTATTCAATCTATTATATCTGCGTCTTATCAGAAGTGCTGGTCCACGTGGTAGGCCCATGTCCATAAGATCTTTCTCAGTTAATTCTTGCAAGACTAGTCCTGTCACTTCTTCACTGAGCAGAATGTGCCCATATTTCTCATCAATCTGAAGGTCTTTGGTTACCCATTGTTTTACATGCTCTTTGGTCCAGTCTTTGGTCATTTCAGGTAGATTTTCTTGCTCAGTCATCTTACATTGACACTTTCTTCTTTGGAGAAAGCAATAGAATAAGTATTATACTTTATCATTGAAAACACAGAATCAATTTTATATATACTCCCTTATAAAGAATATATATGTGTGAGTCTGAGACTCTTGATGTCTATTTTAATTATTTTAGAATCCCAATGAATGCCCTTGTTTTCCAAGTGAATTATGAAATAATAAGTAGCTGCCAGTTAGGGTGAAATAAATATGTAACAGGTTATACTGCTCATTTTTTCCTAGATCCCATATTCACATAGCATCTGTAGTCCCATGAAATTAAACCAGTTTTCCCCTTCTGTTAATATGTCTTTTGTCAGTTTAATTATTTTCCAACAGTAAGAACCTAGAAAGACAAAGGGAGACTTTTCCTCCTAAATATTCTAGTATATTTGGCAGGATATCCCACCAAATGGATTAATGTTTGCCACTGGAACTGCTGTAGTTGATAAATCTTGATAATAGCTGGCTATAAAGGTAAGAATTCTTGCTTTGTCAGAATCCCAGGTCTCTACCTGCATAGTCCACTGGAAGAATGGTGAAAGCTTCTTTTATTTTATTTTTATTTATGCATACAGAACTGGGGTATAAGCCAGAGGTGCAGCGGCAGTGTGAGTCTTCACCAGAGACAGAGTGGGGAACAGGACAGGCAGATCAACAAAGTACATTGCTGAGGGGAACAGTGGGCGGGTCAGGAGAGGCCATGTGGGTCAACCCCTGGGTTGGGGATTGAACTTGTACTGAAGAGGCTGTGGCCATCTTGCTGTTCTGTGTGCTAACCCATTGCGCCACCAGGGAGGGATGGTGAGAGCTTCTTTTTATAAATTTAATAATGAATTTCTAAGTTGCAGTTTAAAAAACTGGTGGGAAGAAGTTCCTTGCATTTAGAGAGTTTGGCTATCTGGTATGAGTTCTCATGAATTTCTACCTCAGAGACGGTCTCTGTTCTTTTCATGAATTAAGAAATCTTAAAAAATTGGGAAAATGGTTCCTTTCAAAGAGGAGGAAATACATGTTTCCCTGTAGCTGGGAAGAGCTGTTTAAAACAGGTTCCCTTTCATAATTACTGTCTAAGAATAATTTACTGGGGATGCCTCTTATGCCTGCGGTTAAGTCATAAAAAAGGCTTATTGACCTGAGTTATTATTTGAACTAGAAAAACTTCTTAACTGAGAACAATTTTGAGGGCTCTCAATCTAAGAGCAAGCCAGCAACTTGCCTAACCTCCATGTGCAGGAGGCTGAGTCTCAGCTGCCCACTAGTCTCAGCTGCCCACTAGTATCCACATCTCCCAGAAAGAACGCTCTCGCAGTCCTGGCCTATGCTCTCCTCTCATGTTGTGTGGAACTCACCTACAAAGAAATATGATTTCATTTCCCGAGGTATATGCTAAAATACATTTCTTTTTTTGTAAAGCAACCTTAGGATTAATTTAATTTTATTTAAAAATATCACCCTTGAAAGTATGTATCAAGGGCTTGGGAACTTAATAAGAAATGAAAAGTTACAATATAAAATAGCAACGGGCTTATGGAATGCTTTTTTGGGAACTTAAACCTAATTAGCCTATTCATTTCTGTGTACACTTGAAGTATCCCTGAATGTTATACCTTTCTAAGTAAGGAGCAGGAGGGAAGATTCACTTTTAGTAAAGTGACTCAAATAAAATAATTTTACCCAAGTTACATAATTAAGTGAAGCCATGAAGCAAACATTCTATTACCTATAAAATCAGATGCACAGTTAGTTAACATTTAAATTTTGACAAAATGTCTTTCCTTAGTAACCAACAGTACTTTTCTAAAAAAGTGGTGAAGCAGAGTACTCAAGCTGTGTCTCTAATCACGGCATCTTAAACAATCAACTGAAAGGTAAAAAATCCGAACTGGCTAACTTAATCTACAACCAACAACATTCTCAGCATCATGTATGCAGGTAAATTTCTCAGTCTGATAACACTTCTTAAAATGATATTTCCAAGGTTTCAAGAGCCCAGATGAAATAAAAATTAAGACATTGTTTTGATTACTATTTAGAAAGAAACCTATCCTAATAATAAGTGAAACCTAATAAGTGAAACACAATATTTAATCAGATGTTGGTCAATGCAATACTTGTACTTCCCTGTTCATTAGCCAATAGCCATCTAGCACCTTCGGAAGGAATTATAGTTAGAAGTGATGAAGGCACTCTCTGCATGCCCTCCCACACCCACATTGCCATCATTCAGCAGCTGGGTAGAAGGTGGCACTTGGTGACCAGCAATGGCTTTGATAAATACATGAAGGAACTAGGACTGAGAATGGCAGTGAAAAATGGGTGCAGCTGTTGAACCAGATTCATTAAACTCTTTCATCCCTCTGGTTAGTAAATAAATGTGTTTGTGCTGTAAAATTAGTAATGACAGTGATTCATTAAACTTCTAAATTATTCTTCATTGAGACTTATCCTTTGAAATGACTAATGATTTTCTTGTCATCTGCATGTACAAAGAAACCTCTTATAGTTCTGTGAATCTTTACATGAAAAAAAATGTGAAATTCCTATCAACATCACTTTATAATGTAAACCAGAAGTAAATTTGATATCATCTTAAATTATATTGGACAAAGTGAGGCATACCTGCCCAAGGATAGTGTTATGTTTGAATTTCTGATCTGATCTATGTTCCAGTTAGGTCTTCTTGCCTTGTCCCTAGAGTTTTCCACCTCTAAAGCAAACAAACAAACAAACAAAAACAACACTCTGCATGATACTGTCTGGAGTCAATACAAGTAAAACTAGTTATATGTTTGTGAAAGCACTGAGATATTGTACTTTAAAAAAAATTCTGTTAGAAATAATTATATCTTATATTAATTTTTAAAGTTTTACAATTAACTTTTAAAGGTGAATTTTACAGAATGTTGATTCAGGTATCTTTCAGGGGTTTTCTAAGAATTTCCAACTTTTATATCAGCAACTTGAAATAAGTTTTCATGAAGTTCTTTGATCTTGAGCTGTTATATGAATTGTCCTTTATTGAAAATTTGTAAGAGTAAGATCCCAGCAAACAGCTACCAGGAAGGAGATGCAGAGGCAGAAGAGACCTGATTCTTTTCTACTTTTGCCTGAGGATATATTTGCTGAGAACCTATTACATATATAAAAAGACATAATAGCAAGTTAATACATACTTAATTGTACTTAGGAGATATTTATGGCATAGATTTCTTCCTTAACTCTCTACTATAAACATTTTCAAGTATAAAAGATTTGATGAATAGTGAATAGAACATCCTTTACCAAAATGGCACCACTTCTAACATTTAAATACTATTTTTTTAAAAGATTTATTTATTTATTCATACAGAATGGGGTACAGGCCAGAGATCGGAGGGTGGGAGGAGCCACCACAGACAGAGTGAGGAGCAGAACAGGCTGACTGACGAAGTACACTGCTGAGGGGAGCAGCGGGCGGGTCAGGAGAGGTCTGCCACGCCATGTGGTCCCCTCGGGGCAGGCGGGGATCGAACTCATGCAGAAGTGGCTTTAGATTCTCAGTGCTGTGCTTTAACATGCTGCGCCACCAGGGAGGGCCACTAACATTTAAATACTTTTAATAAAATAAATAAGCATCTAAAATACATTGCAGCACACTTCCTCTTCCCCATATTCTGCATTCAACACGGAGCAAATACTACACAAGACAAAAAACACACTCAGCATGTGACCACTAGCTACCTCCTCTACCACAGCAAACTGATTCAAATACCTCACTAAGAACTCTCTCTTGGGGGCCCTCCCTTTCCCTGGTGGTGCAGCAGGTTAAAGCTCTGCACTAAGAAGCTAAAGCCACTTCCGCATGAGTTTGATCCCCGCTTGCCCCGTGGCAGACCTCTCCTGACCCGCCCGCTGCTCCCCTCAGCAGTGCATCTCGTCGATCTGCCTGTTCTGCTCCCCTCTCTGTCTCTGGTGAAGCCTCTCATTGCCCCTGCACCTCCGAACTGTACCCAGCTCTGTATCCATAAATAAATAAATCTTAAAAAAAAAAAAAAAGAATTCTCTCTTGGGGCAAGAGTCCCCCTTGGGGTCTCCTCATTATCACAAGCACAGTGAGCCTGTTCACGTTTAAATACCATACCAACATCTGTTCAATCCCTCCAGTAGTTTTTCATTTGACTCAGTGAAAGCCTCATTCCTTATATAAGCTGCATGACCTCACATGATAGGCACCTCGTTACATTGTGATAAACGCCATACTTTTATTTCCTCTCTAAAACTCCCCCAGACTCCCTCTTGCTCCTTGCTGGTGGTACCTGCTTCTGCTTCTATTTTTGCTTCTGGTACTACACTTGCTTCCTCTTGGGCAATCTGTAGAAGTCACCCCCACTCCTCTTTCTGGTCTTTTATCAAATGTCGCTTTCTCTCGTTTTGCTAACCCTCTGAAACCTTTATCCCTTCTGCCATCTTTTCCTGCCCTTCTTCCCTTTAAGTCTACTCAGAACTTAGTACATTTATTTTCATGTACTTCTCTTGTTTATTTTCTGTCTGTCTCAGTCATTATTCTGTATGCTTCATGAGGATAAGGATTTTTATGTTTTGTTTACTACTTATACTAACAGTAGCTTCTTAACAAAAATTTGTTGAATGAATAACATATTTTCTTAGAGTAGCTGAAAACAGCAACTTTTTAAGTTAGCAGTGTCTGTCAGTCAAAGAACTTGCTCTTCTCATGAACTTCATTTGACTTGAACCCCAGACTGAAACCTGGGGCAATCTCTTTCCTGTACTGTTAGGACGGAACTTACTCAAATGTCAAGGATCTAGTTATAAGAATAAAGAGAAAGCTTTAGGAAAAATAATAAATATAGTTTCTCCTGTAGTCCTTCTGGATAACCCAGTTTCATAATATGCATAACACACAATTCCAAAATTAACATAATTCTTATTCTGGTGTTACTGGGAAGAGCCCTCTTTCTAATTTCAGTGTTAGAATCTCAGTA